GACCAATAGGCAACATCATGATAGATGGAGAAAAAAATGGAAACTGTCAATAACTGCATCTTACTTGGATCCACAGTTAACACCCTTGGTACCAGCAGTCAGGAAATCAGGAGACGTCTTTCACTACAAAAGGCTGCATTTAGGTCCCTCTCCAAATTATTGAGGAGTAATGATGTCAGTTAGAGCATGAAGGTGCATCTCATTCAGGCTATGGTCTTTCGAATCACTTACTATGCATTTGAGAGCTACACAATGAGTAAGGATGATAGAAGAAGAATTCACGCCTTTGGGCTGTGACATTGGAGAAGAGTACTGATAGAGTCCCATAGTCTGTCATAAGAATAAATAATTGTATTATGGACAGGGTGAAGCCAGCATGTCCTTTGGAGGTAAGGATGATGAGCTTTGTCTCACATATTTTGGGGATGTTGCTAGAAGGGGCTATTCCTTGAAGACAGACATGAGGCTCAAGAAGGTGGACAATAGGTGAGGGAGAGAGAGGAAGACCTTCAACCAGGTGGATTGACATGGTAATTGTCTCAGTGAGCTCCAATGTGTCAGGAAGTGTGAGGATAGTGCAGGATAGGACAGGGTTCAGATCTGTTGTTCATAGGTCGCTATGGGTGGTACTCATAGCACCTAACAACAACAACAACAACAACAAAGGCTAATGTCATCCAAGAGTGTAACTATCAAAAGTGTCCATTTTTTTAAGTGTCTAAAACTAAAAAACTTCCTCATTTCTATTAAGTCAAAACTGGCTCACGGCTGACCCTCGACTGGATTTCTGAGGCTATAAATTGCACGGGAGGAGACTGTCCATTTTTTCTTTCCAGGAGCAGCTAGTGGGTTCCAATAGCCAGAGATATTCAACCTTTGAAGTTTTCGGAATACACCTTTAGAACTCCCTGAAGTTGATTATAATTTTCCCTAATTGACTAAATAATTATTTTTCATTTCTGTATTATTGTTACAAATCTATTTGCACTGTTATTTAATCATAAACTAAGGCACACATTTTCATCAGCATGAAATCTAAAGCTATGATTTCAGATGACACTGGTTATCCTCTGTAAGTGAATAGATGCCCACAGAAAAGCCCTTTAATTTGGCCAATGCCATTCCTTTACCCCCGTTTTATGGTGCGGCTGATGAGGGACTGGGGGTGGAGAGAGAGGACGACTTGGAGGTGAGTAGAGGAGAAGGTTTTTATTCATACATAAACCAGCATCACCTGACCAGTGGTTTCTAGACTAACATTTGGTTTCATTCCAAGGAAATTCTGGCACCTTTTCTTGGGTTATTTGGTCATTTGAGGTCGTTTAACTCTATCTCCACCCAGAAGTAGACAAAATCCAAAAGAGCCAAGATCACAGAAAGCCACCCAAGATGGTAGATAAGAGAAGGAAAAGCAGGAGCCAAAATCTCATGGACCATTTTAATAGGGGAGATTTTTTACAGCTATAATTCTTTCGTGAATTAGTGCTTTGTGATGAAGCACAGTGACACTCTTAAAATGAACTTGAGGCTGAAAGAGACTTCAAGGGATTCTTGGAGACCAGTTCTTTCGACTTATAGATGAGGAAGTTTATGGCTGAAGCACGGAGAATTCCATTGCCATGGAATTTGCCATGGTCAAAATCTACCTATTAAAAGAATTTGAGCTGCACTGCAATACTGAAGGTGCACGGTTTGGATCCATCAGATGCTCTGCTGGAGAAGGAGGGGCAATCTCTTCCTGTGCCAGTCAGATCCATTTTGAAAGTATACAACAAGAAACACACACACACACACACGTTAGAACCTCAAAGTGACTTTCTTAACAGTGATCTTGTAACATTCCCTTGTGTTGCTCAAGTACTTTTCCTAAATCACTCCTCAATTCAAGACATTCTGCACCTTCCTCCCAGGGTACAATTTCTCCCCATTGCGTGCTATTTGTAGGTATCTTCTATTGTGTTATCCAGTCAGTTACTTCACAATTATATATCAAGAGCTCACTAAATGTTAGAAACCAAGGGCATAAGTATGCAGTTATTTTCACAACAGATCAAGTGCCTACCCACAAGGTGAGTACAATTTAATTTCAATCTTTTTGGCTGTAGATCCAGATCTTCCTATCACAATGAACTACTTGCTTCTCTTCCTTTGAGAAGCTTTCATAGTTAAGACTTTCCTCAGCCTGGAATCTACCTCTGAAAACTCTACAGGGCCCTCTACTCTGAATCACATGGGGCCATCTTGTATCAGAACTGACTGTACAACACCTGGTAAACTTATATTAATACTGACAAGACAGAAAAACAAAACAAGAGCTATATTTCAGAAGGAAGGAAGGAGATTAAGAGAGAGAACGAGAGAGAGAGAGAGAAAGAAAAAGAGAGAGAGAGAGAGAGAGAGAGAGAAGAAAGAAAGAAAGAAAGAAAGAAAGAAAGAAAGAAAGAAAGAAAGAAAGAAAGAAAGAAAGAAAGAAAAAGAAAGATACTGTTGACAGTGGATACTGTCAGAAAACTAGGAATTATTTTTGAATTGGAATCAAGAAGCTTTCTTTTGTCTTTACAAAATTTTCCTGAACTTATTATACAGAACTGTAGCTGAAGGTGGGAGGGGGATTCTATATTTTCCCCAGTAACGGAAATATTCTTTTTCCAAAGAAGTGCTGATACAGCAAATCTTTAAAAACTACAGTCACTAGAGTCTAGCATCTCTAACTATCTTAAGGCACCCATCAGGGTTTCCAACAAGATATTTTGACTCTAGCAATGAACTTATGCAACTAGCAAGGAAAAAATTCTGGTGGCTTAAAAACGTTTCCTGTTTTCCTTTCTCAGAGGAGGTTTAATCTGCCCTAAGTCTAAGAAGATTTGTCTCAAATTGGCAATACAGACTTTAATAGTTTATTATTTGAAAATGTGATATAAGCATTTTCGTTTCTCATGGGCTTCTGGCTTCTTTCTTGATTTGGATTTTCTGTGCCATATGAGAACCCATTGATATAACTTCCCAAATGCACCTATTATTAAACTTTCTAATAGAAATAAAGAAAAAAAATCAAAAGCAGCGAGTAACATTAGCAATGGTCCAATGGCCCCATGATAACGGGCAAATCCAGTGCTTAGAGTACCTATTTCCCCTGGTTATATGAATTAGTGTTCCTGATATTGAAAATAGATTTATGCTGTAAATAATCTTTTACAAAAATTCTGATTCAGGGGGGAAAAAGCAGAATTATGTCACATTAACTTCACATATTCTAACTGATGTATTGTCCATGCACAAAATTTTTTAAAGTAATTCTTGTACGTGGGGTATACAATATTTCTGTTTTCATTATTCAAAAGCAAAATAAAAAAATTGAGATAATGTTTTAAGTGTTAACTTCTATCAATAGTACTTAGTTATAGCATTTCTCTCTCTTTTTTTAATCATAATATTTCTAACAATGTGTTTTTTAAGGTGCATTTAGGCAAATAGTCATTGAGGTCATTGATAAAATATTCTATCCATTACCTTTAGACTAATAGAAAATGTTGAACATTTTTGTCACAATAACTGTGGTTCAGTATGACATGAAGAGTGAAGGATAAAAATTGTAAGTAGACATGTGCTATTAAGAGATGAGAAAAAAAAAACAAACCCAATCCAAAGAATCAGACTTACCCACATGCTATGCCTCCTACTTGTTGCCCAAAATGGAAATGAGTTAAGAGGAACCACAGAAAAAGAACAGAGGCAATAATAGTGCCTCCCCAACACACTTCTTCTCCTTTGTAAAATGTGCAACAAGGAATGAATGAAAATTCAGCTTTTCTGTAAACTTTCATTAAAATCACAAGTAAAATGAAAAATTTTATGTATTAAAAAATTGTCTCTTGTCCCAAGGGACATCTTCTACACTAGAACAAGAAGTTTTGAAATACCTCAAAATAAGTTCAGAGTTGGAGACTGAAAATAAAACATCAGTTGCTCAAAGGGGGGTACTTAGCAAAGTACCTGTTAATTGAGGGCCTAACTGGAGTACCCAAGCTTGAGTGTTTCCGCTGATAGTCGTTGGAAATCTCCTGGCTTTCGCTAAGTATTTTCTCTTAATACTTTGGCACTCACTATACACTAATGACGTGCATACTTGACACAAAGTCACATCAAATATTATGCTTCAGTAACTTCCTAGTTACATTTTTATTTTGTTTTCTTTACTGGGGCCAAGGTAAAGTTTTACCATGGGGTTGGGGAAAAGCCTACATTTTATAAGAAACAGGGACAGTTTTTAATATCATGAACTAAGTATTTTGTACAAGTAGATTTGTAGAAATATCGAATAGGTAGATGACCGAGGCAGGTTCTTATCCTGGTATAATGGCAAATATTTCTCTGAGCTGTAAACATTTATTTTTCCACATTTCTACACACACACAAAAACAACTTGTTCACATTTTTTAAAAGAACAAACTCAACTAAAAAACTTTATCACATTTTTTCCTTGTAGATTTTCTTGCTCTGATATTTTTCTCCCCCTAAACAGGTATTAGAAACAGAAAATAATGGAAAACCTCTTAGAAAACAACAGTCTTTCCCTTGCTCGATGCCGTCCTTGTCATATGCTTGGATCATTCAGAGTATATATTTTTGAGAGAGCCTAAATTAATGTGCCCTCTTACAACACAGGATAAACACAAGACATGTAATCCAGCAAAGATTACTCATGACTCAAGACAAATCTAAATTGACCTATTAAAAATAAGCCAGACATTTCTATCCTTTCCTGTGGAGCCTATAATTCCCATTGGGTACTTCTAAAAGATCTATGAAGTTGTCCCTGACACTCCTTTGTCAAATAATCATTATTTGATTGGTTAGCCAATAATCACATCCCATTCATTCTCGGCAAACTGCAGCTCTTGAAGCCCTCAGCATTCACAGTGTTTACCAGTGGGGGACAGGACATCAGTAAGGTGGCACACGTGGGCGTACTCTCATCCCCACAAAGCCATGATAGTTACCTTCTACTTTGAAGATAGTGAAGTGTGGACGGCAGTGGAAAGAGCCCAAGGCGTTGCCTGCGCAGTTCATCCACAAACCTTGGTAAACCCAAGTTGCCGTTATTACTGAGGACGCTCGGGTGGTCACCTTCCACTCATTGGATGTCGTGGCAGCGACGAGGGCTCCAAATCCTCCAACGCCGAACACCAGAGCTGAGATCTGCAACCTGGACATGGCGCTCAGCCTTGGCCGGTGGCAATGTCCACACACAGCGAGCACCTTGGTGGTCTAGGCATGCAGCAGGCCACTAACACTTGGACAAGCGCTGCCGGCTGTCAACGTGGCGAGGCGACAGGGCTCTGTGCTCGCACGGCCTGGAGAAGCACAGAGATTCCGGATCAAGCATGACTTATCGATGACATTTTAAAGACAGCTGAAGATCATCGTTCTACTCTCCTACAGAGATCTCTGCTGACATTCTGAAGATGAATTGTAAAGCTTTGGATTTGGGATGGTTTTGGTTTGGGTTTTTTTTTTTTTTTTTTTTACATGGCACCATTGTTAATGCTTAATTTTCTGTTAGTTTGAAGTTTAACGAACCATGCAACTACCAGATATTACAAAGTACAAGTAACTATACAGTAACAGTTAAGGCTTATTTGGGCTATTGCTTTGCATGCTTTTCAGTCTTCACATAAATGGAATCAATCATATCAGAGGTACTGTAATTTATTTTGTCATTAAATACGGTGTTTGTGAGATTTATCAATATTCAGGAATGTAGCTACAGTTCTCTAATATATTACAACTTGATACAGTATTTCATTAAGTGACTATACCATGTTTAATCTATCCATTTTCACAGAGATCAACATTTGTGGTACCTATAGGGAGTTTCTGTTGATTCATCTTGGAGAGGATTAAACCAAGCTACTCCTTGGAGGCAAGGATTCTGAGGCTTCGTCTGACATACTTTGGACATGTTGCCAGGAGGGACG